ACCACAAGTGATTAGGATTAGAACTTGATGAGGGAACTGCGTTGGTAATTTTGCTCTACANTTCAGAAGGTGTAAAATGAAATTGACAGCCTTGAATACAACCAAGTAATGGGCTCACAAAACTGATGGAGGAAAAGGATCCATTACGACCACAAGTGATTAGGATTAGAACTTGATGAGAAACCATGTTTTTCCAGAGCTTCCTCTTGTGCTTCCATCATCTTCTACTGGAGCCCAATAAATAAAGCTATTCAATTTTCTAAGAATTACCTAAACATCTTTTTTTCCCAACAGAGAACTACCCTACTCTGGATGTGTGCACTCCCCTGTATACCATGCACATTTGATAATCTTTTGCATTTATAACTGTCATCCTATTAAAAAATTTTAAATTGCACTTTAAGTGTGTAATCTCATCCACTTCCTTTAGGTTTTTTGGAGAGTTCACCTGAGTCTTGCACTTACAAAGAGATATATAAGAGGTTAACACTTGTACATGCCCTGTGTGCATTCTTTGGTTGATTACAGTTTACTTATCAGCAAGTAATAGCAACAATCCCAGCCTCCTCCCCCAGGCCACGGGGGAAAAATGACCTTGACTTCTCTTAACGCATTGGCTCCTGTTCCCTTAGCCCTCTCACTTGTCCTAGCATCTATACTTTTAAGTGTACAAAACACTTCTATTTTCTAAGACTAATATGCTCAGGAAATGGTTAGTAATAGGCTTGGATCCTACCTGGATTGTATCAACAACTACACAAATTCTGAGTTTAGAATGTAAAGGACAAAGTATATTTCTATTTCACCTCTAATACTTTTGCTCTGTTTCTAGTGTGGATATTGAAACCTTGGCTCCTGAGACGGAATTCCGACAGGGCCAAATATGGTTATAGTTAATAGTTTTATGCAACCATTCTATTTAACAAGTTATCGTTATTAACAACCTTACAACGTAGAGAATGTATCAAGATCAACGTTTGTACAATATTTTTGAAAAAAATTAGTTTGACTCAAAAAATAAAAAAAAACAACTTGTTTTATACTTGCCATCATAAAATTTGGTGCTTGATTTTTGGAACAAAATTTTGATAGCTCATTTTAAATTTTAACAAATTGAAATTTTGAAGTTCGATTTAAATTTTAGCTTGTAAATTTTACTTTTTTGGTACTACTATATTATCACCACATTATTCTATTACTGAATTTTATCTTCTTTTTCTTTGCAAGTCTAACACCACTATTAGATATAAGCCACGTTTTTAACTCATTTTTATAGTGATTTACTATTTTATTTTTCTGTTGGCCATCAAAATCATCAAAGCAAGTATTTTGGTTTGTAAGAGGATTGCTCATCCATGTGATCACATCCTCATTTTGTTATTATATTTTAAATCATTAAGTTTTTTTGAATATAATAAGATAAATATCTCACAGAATTTTTTAAAAATCTAATGGAAAGCATAAATGTTTTAAAAATTTAAAGAGGTTAAAAAGTATTTTTCAAAAGATGAGGGGGGCCATGACCCCCCTAGACCCCTGTGCATTACCATCTCTGCTTGGATCCATAAATAAGCTTCCAAACAAATGAAGCATTTCTTATGAATTTTTTTTCACACAATATCATCCACAAAAACTTCCCCGAAACAATTAACATGTTCATCCACCAAACATTGATCCCTCTTTGTTAGAAACCTTAAAAATTTCTAGCAGGTACAATAAAATTCTAAAGTAATCTTACTTGAACATAGATCATGCCACCGCAAATGAGCTTATTTGTATACCAATTTATGATCTGCCTGCAGTTAAAATTTGAAGGCACGGTGTTCAGTTGATATTCAGAAAGCTAATTCATATTCAGAAAAACCTTCATCTAAATAAGAAGACTGAACACAGGTTGTAACCAATAGAGCCCATAAAGTATACATATTAGAACACAAAAATGGCATAGAGGGAAGGCTTCAATACAAAAAATTAGACACTTATTAGCCCCCCGCCCAAAAATAATAAAATAAAAAATTATCCACTATAATTTTTTTTCGCATATATTATATTGTCAAAAAAGCTTAAAAAATAATTTTCAATCCTAACATGTATTTACACTTCAAAGATACATAACTCGCAAAAAAAAAAAAAACTTGTAGGCTTCATCTACTTGAATTCATACTTTACCACAAAACCTTGAGATTAAAGGGCCTGAAAGGAAAGCAGAAAACAAATTGCATCTACAGCTAATAAAAGAAGAAGGAAGAAATTCACCGGAATTTTTAGTGATTTTTTAACAGAAAGATTTTCCGAGAAAACAATTTCCTGGGAAACAAAGAAAACCCACGTAGCTCACAAATCAAAAGCAAAAACAATCCACTTAAACGAACACCCTCCAAAATTAAAGAAGCACCCAAATCTACAAGTAAACTATGTAGTAAAATTCTTCAACCTGTGTGTCTAATCAAGCAAGAAACAAGGAGAGAAAGAGGCAATGAGTTACTTACAGTAAACCTTAGAAAACAAGATGTCGCTGCAGTGTCAGCCTCAGATTCTCTCTCTCTCTCTCTCTCTCTCTCTCTCTCTCTCTATATCGTCTCAGGTCATTGATTACATTTGTCAATCTCTGTACGCTTTCGTCTTTTTTTTTTTTGTTCCATTTTTTGTCACATCAAACTCGATCAACGACAGAGAAGAAGATAATGTAAAAAAATAATGTAAAAAAATTAATTATTCGGAAGTAAATTAAAAAACTTTAATATCAATCACCGGCAAACTGGGATTTCCATTTTTCTTTCACTTGGGTAAATCTCATTTTGACCCTGAAAGATACAACAATTTTTAATTTATCCCACCCACGAATGGTTAATTTTTTCACATTATCCATTTAAAAAAATAAATATATTATAATGTGACCTACCGTCTTATTTTTGTTTGGTGGTCCATATATTTTATAATTCTTGATGGGTTTATAAACTACATTACAATATTTTTTATTTTTTTAAGGGTCAATATAAAAAAAATTAAGCATTCAAGGACAAACTGAAATCTTTTTTATCGACGAGGATACAAAATAAAAATTTTCCTATTTTTATCAATAAAGTAGAAAAGAAAAAATTTCTAGGAGACAATTAGATTGAAAATTTTATTTGGACGTCATCATTATCGTTTAATTTCATAAGAAAAGCTCGTCAGCGGGGCCTATAAAACGAAAAAACTAAATACAACATAGTTTTAAAAATTGACTCGGATATCAACTCGGCAAATAGATCGGGTCAATGAATTATTGGTTCAATCGGTAAGTCACCGGTCGAACCGGTCAAATAATAAAAAATTATAAATAGACTAAAAAATTACAATAATCATAAAAATAACATACTTAATATATAAGAAGAATTATACTTAGATTTCATGAGATTTTTCACTTAATTATTCAACCTCTCTGACATTTGAAATATTATACACACATCCCTCTGAGATTTGTACGCGCGTAATACTTAGATTCATGTCATAAATATATCAGTTAATAAATTATACTTAAACCCTTTAAATTTAAAATATTATACTTAGACCAAAAATACTCTAAAGAAAGATAAAATATAAAATATTTTAAATTTTATAATCAAAATTCATGTTCTATTGTATCATTTATTGCAATAAAATTAAGAATAAAAATTCAATTTTTTCTTTAAAAAACGTAATTACATACAATTATATTGTATATTCGAATATAATTTGGTCATTTAAACGACCAAATTAAAATACCAAACTACCCAAATTAAAACTAAAAGATATTGTGTCCATTATAGTTTGACTCATTGTTTAATTTTTTAGTTTTATTCTAATAGATAGTATAATTATATATTAACTATGTTTTTTTTAAAAAAATAGATTTTTATTTTTGATTTGATTTCAATAATGACATAATAGACCATGAATTTTAGATGTAAAATTCATGTTATATTATGAATGACTTAGACTTTTGTTTGATTTTTTAGTTTTATTCAAATAGATAGTATAATTGTATAATAATTATGATTTTTTAAGAAAAAATTAAAATTAAAATTTTATTTTATTTCAATAAATGATACAATAGAACATGAATTTTAGTTGTAAAATTTAAAATACTTGATATTATATATTTGATTGTAATATTTTTTTAGTATAAGTACAATATTTTAAACTTAAAAGATCTAAATATTGTATATACTTACAAATTTTAAGTATAATTTATTAACTGATATATTTACTGCATAAGTCTAAGTGTTACGTGCACACAAATTTTGGGGGTCTGTGTATAATATTTCAAATATCAGAAAATTTGAGTGATTAAATAACAAACCTCAACGATTTTGAATGTAATTCTCCCTAATATATATTAAAGGCCCAAATCATCACACATCATTCAATATCAAATAACTATGAATGATTCAATGTTTAACATCTACATTCAAGAATGTGCATTACAATTTAAAATTATACAAAGAGATGTTTGATAGATTTGTTTTAGGCCCTAGCTATTGATACTATTACGAGCTTCTTCGTATGTTGAACCCAATTTACTAATTTAGATTAAAAATAGATAAATTTAATTAATTAAGTATGATAAAAAGCAGGTTATAAGTGGTTAAATAATAGCAAGAAGGAAGTTATAAATAGTTAAATAAAAAAATAGAAGATATTTATTAGACTTATAATTATTTAATAGCCTAAATAATGTGGTAGTTGACATGGTATATAATTTTTGAACATTAAATGAATAAAAATGAGACAAAATATTATTATTATATTAATGTATCATTTGATCTTTGTTTTTGATTTATTTTTAACCAGTCTAGTATTATTCTAAATATTATAAATCGAATTCAACTAATTTTCCACATCAAATATATGAACCCATCGAATCCAAAAAATTTAGAAGACCAGGGTCCGGGTCGGATCGGATCGAATCGTGGGTGTGTGCAATAATAGAGCAATTTCCTCCAGTGTAGGAAAGGAATAACGGGGGAAAAAACAGATCCGACCTGCCGGATTCGAACCAGCGACCTAAGGATGTCTATTAGCACACTACAGTCCTCCGCTCTACCAACTGAGCTAAGGTCGGATTTTGTTATTGAACGTTTAAATTTTATATTATATTTAGTATTTTAATTCGGTAATGCCCTCCCTGCTCGAATCACAAGACTTTTGACCGTTTCTATTATTACTTTCTAAATCGAACTTAATTAAGCTAGCATAATGGTAAACCATCGAGCCCAATATGAACTCCAAGTGAGAATTTTGGTCAGTACTCCACTGAACCACCTCACTCTATGATCACTCCAAATCACCTTATTCTCAAAAGAGAATTGCCAAAACACCGTTTCTCCTATATAAAAAAAAATTATGAGTAATATAATTTTGACTTAAAAATTTAATTTAATAATGTGGTTTCATTAAAACTATTAGATTAACAATATTGCTCAATAAAATATTGGGTGTAACGGTGACATTACGCTATTATTGTCATGTAGTATTATCATCTAATAAAAACATAACAAATAATCAGGTAGATCCGACATATTATAGTGACCATTTTGTCATGTCATTTAATAACTATATAAGTCAAATTCATTTTACCTATGTGTATGTTTATTATTAGATGATGACATCACATGTCAATGATGACATGATGTCACTATTATTTACTCCTATTATGCATACTATATACATTAATTATTAAATTACATAAATGTGGTGAGAGTGGAATGATGCCCTCATAATTTTGTGAATAATAATTTAGATCAAATTTTTATTTCTTATTTTTTAATAAGTCTATAAGCATTAATATAAACATTCGTTGACCTTGTAAAAAAAATAAGAAATCTACTTTTGTTAGTCTAGTAGTCAAATGGGCCTTTGTATTTAGGGAAGCACTACAACATGGAAAAATATTTTTTTGGTATCATATTTTTACTTTTAGATCAATAAAAATGCATCAAGTCTACAAATTTTTTTTGTTGTTGTTTTATCATTTTTAAGCTATGGTTGTACATCATCTATCTTAAAATTGATAGCCGAGATTAAAATGCAAAATATCCTTCCTGTTATATATATCCAAATATAAAGAATAATATCCTTCCTGTTATATATATCCAAATATAAAGAATAAGTTATCGGTGGTGTTAAATGGGACTGAATTGATTTTAATTTATATCTAAATAATAAAGGAGTTAGATTGTTTATCTTAAACTTTTTGTGGCTCAGATAGTGATTCGATGATCCTAATTAAACTTAATTCTAAAACTCTCATTTCTCATATAACTCTCTCTCTCTATCTCCTATCTCTTAAACATTTTAAACACTCTTACATAGCTCATATAACTCTCTCTCTATTTGTATCCCATATCTCTTTTAAACACATAGTCTTGAGCTTTTCGCGTCTAAGATTATATGAAGATTATTGATTAAATAATCAAAACTCCTTCAAAAATATTTTTTCGCCCAACATTTTCAACAAATTTATTCTCATTCTAGGACTTTGAAAAGACTTATCTCAATCTATCATATGTCTCTTCGAGTTTCTCACTTTATCTGACCTTCTTTATACTTCCACCCAAATACAATACGTTTCATTACTTTGCTAGACATTATCACCAACAAACCCCCACCATACGTATTCGTTTCTCTCTCTCTCTTTCTTTACTTGTTGCCACAGCGCCACCGCCACAACACCATCTTGGTATGCGTTCTCGCGCTCTCTCTCTCTATCAGTTATCACCTCCACTCACTCCCAAATCAGAAACCCTAACCATAGNCGTTCTCGCTCGCTCTCTCTCTCTCTCTATCAGTTATCACCTCCACTCACTCCCAAATCAGCAACCCTAACCATTGCCACCACACATAGCCACACACGACCCCCTTTTCTTGCCCTCTATCCCAACCCCTGCAACCTCTCACACACAACCATTGCCCCGTCACCTCCATCCTTCTCTTTGATTCTTTTATGGGTTTTGCATGTATAATTTCAAACTATTTGTTGGTTTGCCTCTGAAGAAAAATACAAGCTTAATTTTTAAACTTTAATAGACATAACCCATGAGTTTTAAATTCTGGGTGGTTTTAAGAATTGACTTTTTAATTTTGCTATGAATAAAATATGTGAATTTCCTTTGTAAAAAATTCTTCATCTCTCAGTGTCAACCCATTTGATGAGATGCACCATTCTTATTCCAAGGCATAATGATNTCGACCACCGAAATTCCTCCGATCCTCAACTTCCCTTACAGGAGCACACCTCTGGTGGCTAATGCACAATTCTGATCAATCTTCACAATAGACAATTTTGGGGATCAACATAAAATGACTAGAGCATTCTTAATATACCGAATCCAAGGATATTCCAGTCTAACTAACAAATCTTTTTCACAAATTAGATTTGAGTTGTGTATCTCAATTTTACCATTCAACAACACCTTACACAAATTAGTCAAACTCTTGCCAAACTCAAAGGATACATTAAATACTCAAAAGTTGAAATTGAGCATCCTAGTNTTTTTTTTATGTATGTGGTGTTGCTTGCTCTAAACAACAACTCGATAAAGTTTATGCTTTTTGATTATGTTCATCATGATTATTTTCTTTGATATAAAATTTTTATCCGAGCTTATGTTTATGAGCATGGTTGAGTTCCAAAATTCAAACATAAAGGTGATAGTATGCTTCACTTCATTGCAATACATATTATCTAAAATTTAAATAATATTGAGAATTTGTATATTTGGTAATATGAGAATTACATCGTACAAATACATATTATGTTTGAATGGATTTACGAATAGGGTAAGCGATGGTCATGCTTGATCTAGCGGTAATTTCAAGTTTATATTGCAATTCTATGGGTTTGGTAATTTCAAGTTACATTGGTTGTTGCTACTCCTATGGTATGTTTGTTGATTGGTAAAAAGTTGTTAGATTCCGGTAATTTTAGGGTATATGATGAATTGGGGTCTTGATATAGCTGTAACGTTTTTTGTTGACATTGTAATTCTATTTGTTTGTATTAAAGTCATTTAAATGGCTNGTTACATTGGTTGTTGCTACTCCTATGGTATGTTTGTTGATTGGTAAAAAGTTGTTAGATTCCGGTAATTTTAGGGTATATGATGAATTGGGGTCTTGATATAGCTGTAACTTTTTTTGTTGACATTGTAATTCTATTTGTTTGTATTAAAGTCATTTAAATGGTTNATAATGGTAAACCATCGAGCCCAATATGAACTCCAAGTGAGAATTTTGGTCAGTACTCCACTGAACCACCTCACTCTATGATCACTCCAAATCACCTTATTCTCAAAAGAGAATTGCCAAAACACCGTTTCTCCTATATAAAAAAAAATTATGAGTAATATAATTTTGACTTAAAAATTTAATTTAATAATGTGGTTTCATTAAAACTATTAGATTAACAATATTGCTCAATAAAATATTGGGTGTAACGGTGACATTACGCTATTATTGTCATGTAGTATTATCATCTAATAAAAACATAACAAATAATCAGGTAGATCCGACATATTATAGTGACCATTTTGTCATGTCATTTAATAACTATATAAGTCAAATTCATTTTACCTATGTGTATGTTTATTATTAGATGATGACATCACATGTCAATGATGACATGATGTCACTATTATTTACTCCTATTATGCATACTATATACATTAATTATTAAATTACATAAATGTGGTGAGAGTGGAATGATGCCCTCATAATTTTGTGAATAATAATTTAGATCAAATTTTTATTTCTTATTTTTTAATAAGTCTATAAGCATTAATATAAACATTCGTTGACCTTGTAAAAAAAATAAGAAATCTACTTTTGTTAGTCTAGTAGTCAAATGGGCCTTTGTATTTAGGGAAGCACTACAACATGGAAAAATATTTTTTTGGTATCATATTTTTACTTTTAGATCAATAAAAATGCATCAAGTCTACAAATTTTTTTTGTTGTTGTTTTATCATTTTTAAGCTATGGTTGTACATCATCTATCTTAAAATTGATAGCCGAGATTAAAATGCAAAATATCCTTCCTGTTATATATATCCAAATATAAAGAATAATATCCTTCCTGTTATATATATCCAAATATAAAGAATAAGTTATCGGTGGTGTTAAATGGGACTGAATTGATTTTAATTTATATCTAAATAATAAAGGAGTTAGATTGTTTATCTTAAACTTTTTGTGGCTCAGATAGTGATTCGATGATCCTAATTAAACTTAATTCTAAAACTCTCATTTCTCATATAACTCTCTCTCTCTATCTCCTATCTCTTAAACATTTTAAACACTCTTACATAGCTCATATAACTCTCTCTCTATTTGTATCCCATATCTCTTTTAAACACATAGTCTTGAGCTTTTCGCGTCTAAGATTATATGAAGATTATTGATTAAATAATCAAAACTCCTTCAAAAATATTTTTTCGCCCAACATTTTCAACAAATTTATTCTCATTCTAGGACTTTGAAAAGACTTATCTCAATCTATCATATGTCTCTTCGAGTTTCTCACTTTATCTGACCTTCTTTATACTTCCACCCAAATACAATACGTTTCATTACTTTGCTAGACATTATCACCAACAAACCCCCACCATACGTATTCGTTTCTCTCTCTCTCTTTCTCTACTTGTTGCCACAGCGCCACCGCCACAACACCATCTTGGTATGCGTTCTCGCTCGCTCTCTCTCTCTCTCTATCAGTTATCACCTCCACTCACTCCCAAATCAGCAACCCTAACCATTGCCACCACACATAGCCACACACGACCCCCTTTTCTTGCCCTCTATCCCAACCCCTGCAACCTCTCACACACAACCATTGCCCCGTCACCTCCATCCTTCTCTTTGATTCTTTTATGGGTTTTGCATGTATAATTTCAAACTATTTGTTGGTTTGCCTCTGAAGAAAAATACAAGCTTAATTTTTAAACTTTAATAGACATAACCCATGAGTTTTAAATTCTGGGTGGTTTTAAGAATTGACTTTTTAATTTTGCTATGAATAAAATATGTGAATTTCCTTTGTAAAAAATTCTTCATCTCTCAGTGTCA